CCCCAAAACCCCAAAACCCCAAAACCCCAAAACCCCAAAACCCCAAAACCCCATTCCAAAGTCCAAAAGTTATAAATAATTAAAATATCAAATAAATGGAGACCGAACAAAAAAGTGACATTCTCTTCGTAGGATTTAACCAGAATGCTGACTGCTTCGCATGTGGAACAGAAAGTGGGTTCAAAATATTTAATACTGACCCGTTTAAAAATACCTTCTCCAGAGATCTTGATGGAGGTATTGGTATTGTTTCGATGCTCTTTCGATGAAACATTCTTGCGCTGTCGGGAGGGGGCAGCAATCCTAGATACAATCCAGATAGAGTTATGCTCTGGGATGATAGTCAGTCGAAATGCATCGGAGAACTTAAATTTAAATCAGAAGTCAAAGCTATTAAAATGAACAAAGAAACAATAGTAGTTGTTCTCGAAGACAGAATTTATGTTTATGAGTTTCTCAGCCTTAAAATAAGTGATGCAATCGAGACTTGGACCAACCCTGATGGACTTTGCTGCCTAAGCTCAATGAAAGATACCAATGTGCTGGTTTGCCCAGATAAAGAGCAAGGAATGATCAGAATCATCAATAATGGTAACCAAGAAACTGTGAAAGCTCATGACGGATCTATTGCATCTCTCTCCTTGTCGCCAGATGCCACGAAATGTGCCACTGCAAGTGACAAAGGGACTCTCGTTAGAATTTTTGACACTTCCACGGCAACTAAACTGCAAGAAGTCAGGAGAGGAGCTGATCCAGCAAAAATTTACTCAATTGCATTTTCAAGTAACGATCTTCTGGCGGTGTCTTCTGACAAAGGAACTGTACATGTCTTCGGACTTAAGACAAGCGAAGAGAAGAAGAAAGAAGAAACCAGCAAGAATACCACCTCATACTTCGGGTTCATGAAGGGAGTCCTTCCAGAGTATTTCTCATCTGAGTGGAGTTTCGCCCAATTTAAGTTTAATGAGGACAGTGATTCGACCTACACAGCCTGAGCATTTACTGACAACAACTCTCTTGTGCTGGTCAGCAAGAAGGGAGACTACTATTTGCTAGAAGTCGACAAAGAAGGAAAAACCATCACAAAGAAAGCCCACCTCATGGTCAATTCGGAGTAGGGACGCAGGCCTGACTTAATTCAGAACATTGTCTATATTCAATTTGCTGGAATTCTTTAGGGGTTTTGGGGTTTTGGGGTTTTGGGGTTTTGGGGTTTTGGGG